TAGCTATTGCTGTCCATGTAAGTCATTGTAAGTGCATTCTCCTCATGCCTGCAAAGCCAATGTCCTCCTGTATGGAGAGCAGCTCACACATAGACACTGACACAACAAAGGGCAGGTCTAGGGACTCAGTATCAGTGGTTATGTCAATTTGCTGTTTGACTTATTATAACCAATTATTGCTCACTCTAGTCATGCAGGTGACTAAAAAGCTGAAGATTTGACCTGGATGCTTTTTCTTTAATAGTTTTAATTTTTGAGAACTTATATACGAACACTGCATTTCCATCACTCCCACTGTTACTGTTCTCATCTAATTATTCTCATGTACCCTTCCCTAATTCACCATCCCTTCTTTAACTATTATTGTCACATGTAGAGTTAGATTTAAATAAAAGTAAGAATTTTTTGTTTGGATCTGTAGTGTTTAAATGATCATCATGGAATGTATTTATTTGTCTGTTAACTGAAATACCCTACTTGCTTGCTGAAATTCTTTCTTCCATGTCTATAAAATCGGCCTTTTTTTTAAGACCTTGAAGAATCTAGAGGAAGGAAAGGAAGTGGAGCAAATGATGTAATTCTATTTCAAAGAAAAACATGTTTTGAAAAACTAATAAAAATCTATTAAAATTCATTTTATGAATACATGGGTTTTTCTCTTATCAATTGATTCTCCTTTTTGGCTATTATGGAATAACAGTGCTATGAATATTTGCATGCCCTTTTCATAGATGCATTTTCATTCTCCTTAACATATGGGTCATAAGCTCAGTACCTTTAATTTTCTGAAGAACTATCAAGCAGTGTTCCAAAGCAGCTGCATCATTAACTATTCTCTGTAGCAGGGCAGAACAATCCCAGGTTCTGTACATGCTATCTGGCCTTGTTATGATCTTTCTCACTAGTGCCCATCTAGCTGGTATAACATCATGTCTCACTGTGGCTTTGAGTACCCTGGGTGGTTAATGATGTTGAACATCACCCTATGTGCTCATCTTCCTTGAAGCAATTTAAGATGCTCCTGCCATTTTAAACATTGAATTTAGTTGTAATAGTTCCTCATATACTATGGATCCCCAGTCTCTTATTAGATATAGAGCTTCCAAACCCACATTGTGAGTCCTTTTATTTCTTCTTGGTGCCCTTATGATTGGAGATGTCATTCTGTAAATATGTTTCTCTTATTGGTTAATGAATAAAGTACTGTTGGCCAATAGGAAAGCAAGATAGGTGGGACTAGGGGATAAGGAGTATTCAGGAAGTAGTAGGGAGGAGATTCAAGATGCAGGACCGGGAGAGCAGAATGCTGGCCTATCTCTCCGGTAAGATAAGACCACATGGAAGTACTTAGATTAATAGAAATGGGTTAATAAATAAGACAGAGCTAGCCAATAAAAAATGCTAGTAACAGGCCAACAGAATTATATCTAATACAGCGTCTCTGTGTGTTATTTGGGCCTGGCATGGCTGTGGGACCAGGCTGGTGGGAAACCTACTCTTAACATATTTAAATATTGATGATATTACAATAAGCAATAAAATATTTGTGCTATGAAGTTTCTCTAGAAACTGAAAACAGAACATTTTTCTTAATGCATTGGCAGTGATAAATTATAAAAAGACAATATATCATCAACAAACATTTTAGCACTCATAAATTCTTTGTGGATACTTAAATTGGGAAGTTTTCCTAAGATTATTTGGTAATTTATCTCAAAATTGAAAATACGTTAGAACTTATGTATCCCTTGACCCAACCACATCATTTCTAGAATTTTCTTCTAAGGGAAAATTTAAATAACTTTATAATAGATTTTTTATCACTGTGATGTTTGCATTTCAAAAATAAAACAAAATTAGAGAAAGTGTAACAATAGGATATTAACTAAATATATTATGTCATATCACACTCATACTCAAGGCATAGTATAATTATAAACTATATGGGCCAAAGATCACCACTCAGATATCCACTGTCACCAGAAATAGCATCATGAGTACAGAGGTTCTCAGACTAACAGGGAATTATGTGTCCTTTTTTAGAGAGGTATCTTCAAGTTATGCCATGTAGCACTCTGTGTGTGTGCGTGCGTGTTGTGTGTGTGTGTGTGTGTGTGTGTGTGTGTGTGTGTCTGTCTGTCTGTCTATGTATGTGTGTGCCTCTGTGTATGTGTGTATGTGTGTGTGTATCTGTCTGTCTGTGTGTCAGTTGGTGTGCGTATATATGTGTCTATGTGTGTGTGTCTCCCTGTGTATGTGTCTCTGTCATTCTCTCTCTGTATTAAGGTGAGGAAGGGAAGATGTGTTCAGTTATTAAAATAGTCAAGATTTTAAACAAAGCAATAAATTAAATTTAATATGAAATTTCTTCATTTTTCAAAATTCTATTGCTTACCCATTCAATGACTAAATAAAATAAATCAGCTTTATTAAGATGACATGTACACTTACATACAATGTCTGAGGAAATACAAATCAAAATGCTAATTGGTGATAGTTTTTATTTTATACACTTGCCTGTTTCTGTGCTTTCTTATTGATTGTTAATATTTTATTTTCAGAGGAAAGACAATATATCTTTTTGTGGTGATAAAAGGGTTACGAATCTAATTAAATTTTTTAGCATAAAATCAAAATCACTGAATAAATATTCTTGTGCACAGTATCAGAAATATATGAGTTCAAATTTAATTTTTCAATTTGCTAATTCAAGGACTATGACTTCTCATTTATAAATGTTAGTGGTAATACTTAGTATCCCTCCTTCAAATTCTATCCATGATACAAAAATAGAATCAACAACTAATATACTACTGCCTTGCATTACCAAAAGTTAGCATGTAGAAGTGGCTTTCTGTATGGTGGTTCACAACTATGATAGAGATAGACATTTGTATGCTGTAGAAAATGTGGTGCATGAACAACAACAAAACTTGTCAGTCTCTGTGATTTCGCCAGTCTATCTAAAGGCAACACTGTCATAGGGCAGCTCTTGGCAACTCAAAAGCTCCTTTCTGAACTATGTCCTACTTCCTGACCAGCGGAGGTGCCCAGGAAATGGATAAAATGGTTCTGAAAACTGCCCAAAGAATATCAGAGGGGACAGAATCCCTGGCCTATCCTCCAGAGGATGTAAATAGATACTAAGTATGAATGGAGCTTAAGGATGAATTGAATGAACTAGAGACTACTTCTAAAGAAAGGTTTGACCACAAAGCAAAGCAAAGAAAGTATAAATATTCTCTATGTTTTTGTCATCCATCTTTATTACCTGCACAGCATGGATTGATACAAAGGAATTGGAGACACAGAGGAAGCCTCCAGTGGCTGATGTAAGGTAGCTCCTGTTTATGTCGATAATATTTATCTTTCACCATACAGAATCACAGCAACACTCCATATTATTTCTCTGACAGCAGGTTAAGTGCAACATAGAGTAGGCAGAAAGATAATTTTAGATAGACATAGCACTATTGGAAATTTGTCTTCAAATTAACCTGGTCACCTCCCCTCAAGTGTCTGGTTTTAGCTCAGTGAGTAATTCTATCATATCTGGTCTATGGAAACAGTACCCCCTCTAACAGTTTTACATACCAGAAGAACTTTGTTTTTTTTTTTTCAATAAATTCACAAGAAAAGAGAACAAGAAATCTGTTTTTGATATCTTTACTCTTTTGTTAATGTGCAACAAGAACAGAGTAGTATTAAGAAGTCAGGAATAACACAGTAGCTATAGAGGATGTTTATATTAGCAAAATTTCAACAATTATCTTCTCTAGGCTCCTCCAAATTAGCATATTTGTTAATCAAAATAATTAAGAAGCTTTTCAAAATAAAAGCAATGTTTTAAATAAATATATTCTTTCATAACCATAGAACATTTAGTTCTGTTGATGGTAATGAATGAACATTACATTTAAGAAGTTTATGAAAACATTAGGGTAAAATTATCTGGATATAATTATAAACGTACCCTAATTTGTCATTTTCTTCTGTATGCGTTTTACTGTATGCATTAAAATTATCCTGTACATGCTGTCTAATTAGTTAGTTCTCAAATCATCATAAAGATGTTATCTGACTCGCAGGATTTATATCAGTGTCACATGATATGATACTGTTTGAACAACGTCTTTAAATTTAAATTTAGTACCCTACACTAAATCCAATCTTGCCAAGCACTTGTACCTGTCCCTTCTGGTAATAAGAGAATGAATGCCACATTCTTACCTCAGAAGAATGAGGTCTCCCTGCAAACTTTGACATTTCACAACTGAGTTACTGTCATGTCAATAGTCCAGTTACAACAGAAATTTGGTGTGTTTCAGAGTACCGCCTAATGGCTACAAATTCAATGTGGTCAGTTTTGCTACTGAAGCCACATGCTTCGTAAACAGCTACAGAAATTAAATCCTAAATTCGATTTTATTTAATAAATATTTTAAAGACTTTGCTAAATGAAGAAATGAATTTGTTCATCTTTCCAGAATCCTGATTTGAAATGTTTTTTATTTACTTTCATTTCTATCGTAATTTTTAAATCTATATTTAAAATCTACAAAACACCTTTGCTTCGATAAATTTGGCTTTCTTCAGTAATAAGCTGTGCTAAGTGAGATCTTCAAATTACATGACAAAGACAGAGGTAAAACTAACCATAGCAATGGGTTACAATATGTGTTCATTAGAATTTCAGATTATCAGCTGTCCCCAAATGGTCATAGAGATAAAAGAATAACTTAGGAAAACCAATGATGTGACAGAAAATATATTTTAACAGGATCTCGATCTCTCTCTCTTTCTCTCTCTCTCTCTCTCTCTCTCTCTCTCTCTCACACACACACACAACACACACACACACACGTGCACATGCGCACAGGCAGCCACACATAGGTATATACTCACAGCATAGACTTTAAAACACTGCTACTAAAAGTTTTAACTTAGATAAACTACAGGAAAATACTGACACTGTGGAAATATGTTTATGTACAATACCCCAAACAGGGCATCACCTTTGTGGACATCTAAAGAATGTAAAAACAGAACAAAAAGACAAGAATGAGAAATCAGAGTCCTTGTAGAGGGCATGCACACTGCCTCGGTCACAGCTTCCCATTCTCCTCACTACTTTCCTTCTCCTCTATTGCTTCCAGGCTGCGTTTGCCCTTGGCCTCGGGACCACTGCCAGGGCCTTTGCTCAGTCCACAAGACAAACAGGCCAGCTGGATCTGCTTCATGTTCTCTATTGCTTCATTCTTGGCATTCTTCAGTAGGTCTCCTTGCCCCTACAAACAGGTAGAAACAGCAAAGAAGGTGGTTATGGACCAGGCCCATGAGCAACACTGCTCTGTCCCCTGCAAGATGCTGATAAAAGATGGACCAGACCCAGACCTAAGCACTTATTCTCCAGGGAGACAACCAAAGTTCTTTCCAGGTATGATGGGAGGACTTGGCTCTTTGGCTCTAGAACCAAACCTAGCCTCCTCAGCTCACTGCATGCTTATCTGCGACTGCTCCTCGTGATTCCTGTAGGGGGGAACCTCAGGTGATCCCATTAAGAGCACTTGAACCTTCAGTACCATGGTCTGAGGCTTTGCTCATTGTTTTAGTCTGACCCAGTCAGACCAAGATTTCCAGATTCTGGAGAAGATGAGAAAAGATGTTCTTCCATAAAAGTGAAAATTAACCTGGCTTGTCACATTAAACAGCACAGTGCAAAGCCTCCGGTGATGGAAAGCATACAGCTGGTGCCTGCTGTGCTGGTTTTAATGCACTGGGTTATCCACTCAAGCTCCTGTTGGGACTGTCCACAGTCCTTCTCTGCACGTCAGCATATGAAGACAATGTTCCCGCCTGGCTAACAGTTCGCAAGGCAGCACATATCCATCAAAATACAAAAGCACAAAAGGATTACTGATGAATGATGGCTGTCATTTGCATCAATGTGTCAGAAGAAGAAAAAAACATTACCTACTAGTTTATTTTTGGCATTATTAGCATTTAAGTGCACATACTGATACTGGCCTGAAGGACTACAGATGTGTGCACTATGGAAAAAGTATTTCTGTGGAGCATAGACAAAAGAGGAAGTAACTTTCCTCTTCCTATTCTCATAGCAGTATATGTGAGTGTGGCCCTGAAATGAGGGATGATGGGAGAGACTGTGGGGCCATAGCAACTGCTGAAGCATTTTATGAAGCTCACTCAGAGAGGGGACAATCACCTATGAGACAAAGTATTCCATGTGAAATGCAACCTTTCATGTTTATGAACATCATCTTATTAAAGTGTGTATAGACTACCTGCAAAAAGTGCCTTAAGATGTTGATTTCCTCAGAATTTCTAAAATCAGCAGCCAATTTTAACCTGTTGCAGTGGCAGCTAAATCCCTCTTCAACCTTTCATCATAAAGACTGGCTGTGCTGCCTTCTGTTTGTGTTAAAATGTGCTGTTGTCAGTCACCCCAGCCATGGCCCAGGGTTTTAGAGCACACTTGGAGGCTGCATACGTGGAGCCTTCTTGTGAGAAAAATGTGAGTCTGAGCATGGCGAGGTTCTACCCCAGCACAAGGTCACAGCCACCAAAAGGCAGTGATGGTCTGACACCCCTAGGCCTAGTGCTGCTTCCCACACACCATAAGATTGAGATTCCCAAAGACAATAAGCAGAGAGTGCAGGCCAAGGTTGTCAGTCAGAGATGTGTTTCCTGAGGGAAAAATATTTGCAGCATCTCTGGAACTGAATAATTCTCTTGATAGAATAATAGACCCCAGATACTGAAAGCATTTATACCTTGTAAAATGCAATTATTAAGTAAAGATAACAAAACACATGAAGGGCCTACTCTGTGCAGGTAACTTCTACTCTGAACATAATCATTCATTCCATCATAACATTTCTAGGTGATCGGTATTTTCATTAACCTCAGTTTACCTATTATAAAACAGAGAGCCAGAGTGACCACCTTTCCCAGAGTCATGTAGCTGCTGTGGTGGATTTGCGGTTTGTTCAAGAGTCTTTGGCCTTCACCACTTCAACATATGGCCTCTTTCAGGAGCAAACCATACACTCTTCCATTTACACAATCAGACAGTGAAGCCACCTTCCATTATTACCCATGCAACAAGAGACATAGAAGGAAATGACCACCCACATGACACTGCTGACAGAGTCTAGAGATGGGATGCAGGGCCAGGGGTACACCCTGCAGAGTGCCTCCCACTAGTGGCACTGTGGGCCATTTTTTCATCTGTGAGGATAATCAGAATGAATGTCTGCCCTCCTCACAGTTCTAAGATTGAAGAGCACAGGGTGAAAAACGGTTTATGATTTAATGATCACAAATAAACTGCTATAAAATGATCTGGAAAGCAGTTAAGCTTTTCTATCACCACCATAAATAACTCACAACCATCTTTTAATAGAGACTGGGGGGTATGTTTAAAATACATCTGCAAGAGTCTGTTTTGCAAGGGCATGCACACTGATAGCATTTTTTAATGGGAAATTCCTTTACAAACAAGCTATATTAATGATTTGACTACACCTAAGATCATTTTCAGAGTTCTACTTGTAAACCTTTAGGCTTAGTTCTGAAATGATCATCAAACATTTTTAGAGCAAACTGGCATATTTTGTAGTTGTAAAAGGAAAATGAAACATGAAACTATCAATTTGGTGGTATGAATGCATAACACACTTTCACGCCTTTCCCTACAGCAGGTTATGGAGTGCATTTTAATCAGCCCACTGTCACTGCATCGGCTCTGAGAAGTGGCATCCAAGCCTAAAGGCCAGACTGTGCCAGTTCTGTAAACAGAAGCCAGTCTCTCTAGAAAACAATGGCAATGGGAGGAAACAGTTTGTACCAGTGTACAAGAACTCGGCTACATCATCTACCAATAACCCAGGCGACGACACGCACTGGCAGAAGAAAACAAACAAACACAAGTTAAATTACTAATTAATAAGGAAGAAAAATGAAAGGCCATGAGAGCTCACATAGAAAGGTTAGGTTTAATTGTTTAAAGAAGCTAGGATTAGGGTTTTCTGTTCTGTCATTCAAGAAACCATACACATTCTTTTTTCCCCAGAAGAGACATTTCATTATTCTAGAAAATTGTACAGAGGCAATGTGTATTGCTAAGGACCCCCCATCCAGGCATGTCTCTTTAGTGATTTTTCCCATTTTATGGTCAGCAACTTTCCCTAACCAGTTGGCTGCCCGTCTTTCCACTCTGTCACAAACACCAGCCAGCTCACACCAGATCTCCTTTCTTCCAACTTCTCTGTCCTTGGAGCATCTCCTTCAAACTGTATCAGGCAAGACCCTTGTACAGTATATATTTAAGGCACATCAAAAAAAGGCATTTAAAAGAATGTTTTGGTGCTGTTTTCTTGGAGAGGAAGAAGAGAGAGGGAAACCTACAGAATTTTATTTTCTTAGTGGCATATAAATTGAAACACTTCTTGTACACTAAAATTATCTGGGGTTGTCATGGCATTTAATGCAAAATTAGTGCACAATTTGACCACAGAACACTCAACTTGAAGGGAATGTCAAGCTGCCACTCCTTTTCTGTCAGAAAGCCTGTGGGAATTCATAGCTCAGAGGGGAAATGAAGACACTTTAGCCCAAAGGAACGTAAGGGGATCACAGAGTACCCCAGTATACTGATGCTGATGGGACATGAAGAGCAGTCATGAAAGGCACTCGCCACTCATCCTTCACCATGGTTTTTTTTTTTTGGCTTCTGAATAAATGGTTGAATAGGAATTCCAACATATTGAGAAAGTAACAGTTGGAAATATGAACAATCATAATAGATTATTATAAGAGTTGAAGCTAAAAGCTAATGACAGTTAATGCAGATCTAAAATCAAAAATTAAACATCACTTGCCAAATACCTTTAACTATATTAATTGCAATTAAAGTACATTGCTTAGAAACAAGGAAATACCCAACAGAATCTGGACCATAAGCATGGCTACTGTATCATAGCATTACCACTTTGATTTTAATCCTAAAAAGTTAGTCCTTATGATGTCTTCCTGTTCTTTCATTCACTACTGTCTCATAAGTTTGGGATTAACAACCTGATTATTGTCAATAAGATACTATCAGGACATTAAATAGTAGCCAATATAACTTGAAAACTGAGTATACTAAGCATGAAATGATATGTCATCATCCCATGATACCACATGCGTGAAGGAAACCAGAATTCTAAATACAAATCATCAATTAGTCTGTGTTTTATAATCTATCAGAAGATATTTAGGGTTTTTATTTTTCTTCCTTCTCTTACCAAAAAACACAGTCTCCTCCAATGTTTGAGAATCTGGCAGGTCACTAGCAGGAGGCATCCATGGCTTTCACAGGCACATTTCCCATGAACTACACCTCCCTTGTGATGTTAGCTCATGAGAGCAAAGAAGATAGAGTACTTTTGTCACATGTGAAAGAAATGTGTGGCTGTCCCAGAGTGCATCACAAATACTTAAAGCAGCTAATGGGGACTCTGGGAAATGAAAGACCCCTACATGTATACAGAAACAATGAAACATCTCTAAGCTGAGAGTGTGGCTGAGTGTACACTCAATTGCAGGCAGACTGACTCCTCTGATAGACTTTCCATGGGAGAACACACACCCACAGCTAGGGGTCCCCTACCTCCCAGATACCACTGGTGAAAAAAAGCCGGCCATAGAGACCAAGGTGGCATGAACAGCACTGTTTACTTCTACTTTGTGGTGTCTAGGCCAGAGTAGGCTTGTATAGCCATTACTAATTCAAAATTCATAGGTCAGGGAGTCTCCATATTACTTTTAAAAAGGTTAAAAGATCAAGAGATGGGAGGAATTTCCCAAGTTAAAGTTTTAAGTGAGGATACAGGGACTGGGGAATGAAGGAGGTAGAGTGTAAGTTTTCCAAAATAAATGATACATAAAGAATCATTTTATAAATCCACTAGTTTTAAAAGCTAATTAAGAAATACAAAAGGAATTTAAACAGAAGCAACCTGTATGAATCAACAATGCTGCTCTTCCAAAATATGGGTCATTAAAAAAAATTGGGGAGGCCAGAAGTGGGGTATCTCCCTAGGGGATACTGGTCAGGAAAGACCTGGAGGTATTCTAAATAACATAAGTTATTGCCCCTGCTCTTGGTTGCCCACCATAACTAGATGCTAAGTCCCACTGCTGAAGACATTGCTCACTTTGGATGTAGGGCATAGAGAAATCAACCCCTACTGACCAGAAAACTCTATCCCTGCTGGCCAGC